GTTTGTTATAGTGAAGTGTTCACTATAATGAAGCACATAATACATTGGGTTTGTTATGAGTGGGAGACATGCAATGTGTTTGTTATGACAGAAAATTCAATATAAAGGTGTTCATTATAACAAGGTTACAGTGTACTTGTAACATTTCAAAGATCAGATTTTTTTTACCTTGACATAGAGAAGGTTGGAATATATATCCATATGTTCCAGTCTATATGGATCTACTTCTTGCAGTTCAGCAAATAGGTCTACTGCTATATCAGCATCTATGACAATCAAACCATGCGTTAGTAACATGTTCATGACAAGGAGCTTTTCAAACTATAAAGTCATGTAAAAAATCTAGTAGAATCTGTGACACCATATTAACTAATAAACGCAAATACTCATTAACCTTAGGTTTTAAAAATATTCTTGCTTCTTGTCATCAGTTTGAAAAACATATTTTTTGGCCTTTATAGGAGGTTTAACAAAGAAACCTACTGACAGCATTGACACACTAGAAACAAAATCTGTGCTATGTTACTGAGCAGAAGCCAGAAGGTATGTCATTTATTTTCCCATGTCTGTCAATTGATATCTGCACATTATTTACAGTGTACATATGAACATTTTAATGTTACATTCACAGTAGACAGGATTATGTTTCTGTAACAATTGGTAAACAGTTGTAAACTTTACAGTCCAATAAAATTTTACCAATTGACCAAATGTAAAGTCATTACAGGTTTCATGTTACACATGAACAGAATTTAATTATAAATCAGTACACAACTTCACTCCACACTAGACTAGACTATTCTCTGGGCATTTTCACTGCCTGGCAACCTCCCTGGTGAAACAAAAGCCGAAAACTCTCAGAAAATGGTACTTTGGGATAGTTGTTCAGACTTCTCTGAATAGTGTTGAGATTACCCCTGCATGTGTAACAAGATTAGCCCTACGTGTGTAACATATATAAATCTGGTTGTTCAGGATTACTTCAAATTTTGGTTTGTGCCGTTTTCTCGGCTCTTTGACAGGCGTTTCACGGCAGCTTACGCAGAGCCTATAGAAATATATGATACAGTGGTGAATTTCTTAGCAGTGTCTCTGCCCCCGAGAATACACTAGATTAGACAACAGTAAACTACAGGTACATATCTATGGTTACATGAGATCAGATCACTATTAAATCATATGTGAATTACTAACACTGCTGACCACATACATGTACCTCTCATGTTATGTGTTGCCATGGCAATCTGTGCCATGATATAAGTACTTTTATGAAACCCTGCTTCCTTCAAGAAATCATACTTTAGTAGTGCCTCTTCATGCATTTGTAGTTCAAGGTAAATGTGCGCTAGAAAGAATTCCTTTATCCAGTGATTTGGAAATGAAACTGAACTTATCTGAAAAAAAGATTAATAATAATATTTGAACTTCTAGATAAATGTGTACAAAGAAGAATTTCTTTATCCAGTGATTTGAAAATGACACTGAACTTTCCTGTAACAAGTAATTACTGAAATTGGAACATGTAGGTCAGAGATATGGCCCAAGAATTGAATTCATAACCCCTAAATTGCCACCAGTCGGCCGTTTTAAATCAATCTTAAAAACATAATGACATTAATCATGGTCATATAATGTACTGGTACATGTTGCACGATTCTTTTGATGAATTTTCAAAATTAAAATAGCCACTACACTGCCATCAAATGAATAAATGTGTATAATCCGTGACAGGATGAATGACTGTCTGAACAAAGTTTTGAACATGAAAATTTAAGGCATGTCAGAGATACAGCTCTAGAATAGAATTCACTAAAACAAAATGGCAACCAGTCGGCCATTTTGAATTTGATCTGAAAAACAACAGATAGGCATCAAGTTTGCACAAAATCCAACCATACACAAATAAGACTTCAGAAAGGCAGAAATGCTTGATTACGATGAATTGTTAGCACAAAAATGGCTGCCAATCAACTACTGTAGCTGGAATCGGTTTGCAAATGGACTTCCATATTTACATGACACGTGTCTGCACATACCATATATATAGAATGCACATACCATATTTATATCTGTAATCAAACTAGATAACTCCAACCAACCACCCCAGTGTAGAGGTGTCTTGTTGACAGCTTCAATCAAAACTTCTCTGGCTTCTTTGAAAAGTCCTAACTTCTTTAACACAGCACCATACCTGAGTGAAAATATTTGTGATCAAAGTGAACAGAATCTAAATGAATCCCTACAACTACCGATAGATCACATCATTTCTGAAATCATGCTAATTGACTGATTTTACCTTGCGTGATAATTAGATTACAATTCTATAACATTTTTGGTCTGAGCAGACATAATTTCATGATTTATAATGCGGTAATATTGAACTTTTTTTAGTTTATGTGCCTTTCAATTGAAGAGCAAAAATAGCATTATTCGACAAGAACAAGGTGATTACAATAATGTCAAAAAATTACATTCAAAGTGATTTAATGTTTCACATCTTTAGATCAGCAGTACACATGCTCAAAGCTATTCTGAGACAGCGCCCTCAGTATCAACATAGACAATATTTGGGATATCCTATATCATTGGTCATGTGACAATTACGATGCATAGATGTCAAGTGTCGTAGTGATGTTGTAAGTGATGTTGATTTATCACACTTATACCATGTTTGTCACAAATTGAGGTATAAATTTTAGTTACTTAGGATCACTGTTTCCTTGACTTTAGCTGTTTTTACCGGCTCTTCGATCGGCGTTCCACAGCAGCTCGCACAGAAACAACAGAAATCCACTTTAGTAACGTAAAACGTTCTATGGCATAGCTCCGCCCCAGAGTATAGATAGAAAGTTTAAACTTACAGATACGCGGAATATCCATCAAGTTTGTGATGTTGGTGTAGCTGACTTAGTTCCATTCTCAGAGTCTTCAATGACTCAGTCTTTATATCAGAATATTCCATTGGTCCAAGCGGATCAGGCATTTCATCATATCTCTTTTTTTCACCAGACTACAAATATGAATAGTACAAAAATTCTTATCCAAATATGAATTCATTTAATTTATATATTTATATATGCAAATGAGAGATCAATATCGCCAATGTAGGTGAAATATTTCAAGTGTAATTTACTGTATTTTCTTAATTAATTAAACTTCAATATCAAATTTGTACACAACAGATTCACAATAGATGAGCATTCTCTTGATTTGTAATATTGAATTTTTCTTTTACATTCACTTTATATACACATTGCTATTAACTGATAGAAAATAATAAGGATGTAATGAAGATACTGCAGACAAATTACCGGTACTAAGGGTTATGTTAAAAAAAATCACATAATCCTGGCTAACTGACATGATATACATGGAGAT